GATGGGTGCACCTTGTCCCTGGTCCCTTCCTGTCACTCTCTTTGCTTCCTGGCTGCAATGAGGTGAACAGCTGTCCTCCACTGTGTCCTTCCTCCCTGATGTTCCAACTTGCTATGTGCCTGAAAGTCACAGAGCCAACTGACCACAGACCGAAACCTCTGAGGCCGCGAGAAGACACATTTCTCTCCCTCAGGGGCTGATCTCAGGTATCTGTCACAGCGACGACAACCTGACTAACACAGAACCTTTATATTTTCTTAATTTCTGAAATGCCATAGCAACGTGCTTTTCTTGTGTCTCCCTTCCTCGTGTGGAGCACTAAGTGGGTTATTTCAATCTGGAGATTTGTGTCCTTCAGCTCTGGGAAAGGTTTTTCATGATTTCCTACTAGAAGTCCTGTCTTTTGGATTCCACCCTTGCCATGTGCGTCTACTTTCTGGGAATTTTTAAAAGCCATTTTTATCATCCAACCCTTCTTTTTTAAACGTTCAGGGGCTCTTTTCTGCTTCTCAGCTCCTGCTCTGCGGTGGACTCTGGGCGCATATGAAGACAGAACATACCTCCTTTTCCCTCCAGAACAGCAGTGGTGGAATCTCGTTTTCTTCTGCTCACCGCATTGCGTCTCCTTCTTGCCTGCCTCTTACTGGGCCTTGCTCGTGTGAGAGCTTTCCTCAGGCTGCATCCTTTGCTGTACATTCCTATTTCAGATAAAGGTGTTAAAGGTGCTGTTGGTAGCCAGGTACAGTGGCTCATGCCTGTAATCCCAGCTACCCAGGAGCTGGAGATCTGGAGGATCATAGGTCAAGGCCAGCTCAGGCAAAAAAGTTAGTGAGACCCCATTTCAATCAAAAAGGTGGACATGGTAGTGTAAGTCTGTAATCCCAGCTACATGGGAGGCAAAAGTAGGACAACCAGCCTGGGCAAAAAAATACAAGATCCTATTCAAAAAAATCACTAAAGCCAAATGAGCTGGAGCTGTGTGGCTCAAGTGGTAGAGTGAGTGCCTGCCTAGCAATCATGAGACCCTGAGTTCAAACTCCAGTGCTACTAAAAAAATTTAAAAATAAGAGCAGGCCTGAGGGTGCAGGCACATTCAGTTTTGTCCTCTGAGCCATGTGCTGAGGTCCCTGTGGCCAAGCCAAGTCTTATGACCCATCAGAGAGTAGGGGTGAGGAGTGGACTCGAACCTGTCACATCCCCACAACTCAGTCTGTTGCCTCACCCCCACTCTGCGTGTGGCAGGTGCTCGTGGGTTCAGAGCTCTCTGGCTGAATTCTCCCATGGGGTCAGGGAGGAGTCCAGCTGTGTGCAGAGGAGCTGGGGAAACTAACTGCTCCTTAACTGACTCCCAGACCACACTGCTGGTTTCGGCCTCCCATGTCGCCCACTGTGGTGTCCAGGTCCCCTGACCCTGAGTCTCCCTGGGGTTCATCGGCTCCTGTCTCCTCAATCTGCAAAGCCCCAGCCCTCCTGGGCCCTAGCAGACATCGAGCTCTGCCCTTCTGGGCTCGGGTGGATCATTTACCACCCCCATCTGGCCTCCCGCTGCTCACACGCTGTGGTTTGGGGTCACAGGTGTCTCCTGGTTTCTCTGAAGATGGGTGTTGCGTTTCTGTTTCTTGTCCCCCTGCTCCCCGTGGGCAGATGGGGCTGGGTGGGTGACACATCCCTTTCACAGCCCCTGAGACCAGAGCCTCCTCCTTTCTGTATTGAAGACACTTCTGCGGTGTGTCCATGGAGTCCCATAGCAAGGGTTAGTCACACGTCTGCTCCTCCTCTGCCTGCTGAGCCCTGGTGGGCAAGGGCCACGCCTCGCCCCTCACTGTGCCTCGGTCCCCAGTGTGGAGCACATGGTGCACATGACAGAACTGACTTTTGGATCACACAGACAGGGCTCATTTCGCCTTCCCCAGGGTCCTCCAGGATCCTCCCAGATCTGCCTCTCCCTCCAGAGCCTGCCCGGCCCTATCCCCACATTCCGGGGCACCCGGGTAGAGTCAGATGGGGGTTATGGAGGGACAGGGATGGGCACAGATCAAAGGAGTAGCCAGCAAGGGCTCCAGTGCCTGGGAACCAACACCCCGAAGCAGGGACAGCAGCTGAAGCCCCATAGGATTCTCAGGGTGTCTGGGTTCATCCGGGCTGCTCTGCTCTTCCACGTGGTGGTTGGTGGCTGGGGCCACAGTCGTCTGGGGACTCTGCTGGGCTGGCACATCAAGATAGGTCACCCATGGCTGGCGGGCACCTTGGCAGGAGGTGGGAAGGCTGGTTCAGTGGTCATGGCTGGCCAACACGTGGAACTGACACGCAGGAGACGTCCCAGGAGACAGTCGTTTCCCTCCTCCTGCAGGGCAACAGCCTCCCGGCTGGACTAAGAGATCCTGGAGCTCCGCTGGCCTCCACCCCTGGGCGTGACACTTGCTGGGTGATTAAATGGTGGAAGGAACCTAAGGCAGCAGGAGCACATGATGTCATCAGGGTGAAACAGTGGTGTCTGTAAAGCCGGCGGAGTCCCCTGGCTGCCTGGGGAGAGTGGAGTGGAGGCCGAGCGAGAGGAAGCAGGGAGGCCAGGGAGGAGGCCACAGCTGCTGTCCAGGGTAGAGAATAGCAAAGCCGACAACAAAGTAGGGATAAGAGGACAGATTTAGTGGACTTTGGGACGCCAAATTGTCCAGGCCTGACCAGTGAGTACTGGGGTGAGAGAATGGGAGCCTGGGGTACCCGGGTCCCTGCTTTGGGAGAAGGAATGTGGACCAGCCAGGTTCTCAGACCTGGTGCTCCAGAGGAAGGCTCTTATCTGGCAGGTGCATTCCTGGCCCCCAGGCCACAGCCCCGCACTGACCTTGGCACAGAGCCCTGAGCCCAGCCCTGGTGGCACCAGTAGCACTGTGACACTCACCTCACCACCATGTTGCCAGCTCCTGCCACACCCACACACTTCCTGTTTCAAAACAGGTTCTCACTGACTTCCCCCGTGGTTTTGCTTTCCTGTGTAAAGGGCCTCTGACCCTCAGCCAACTTGACAAGCAGAAACAAGCGACTCGCCCCGGTCTAGGGACAGCTGGACACAACCATATGACAAGAGCACTGGGAGGGGTCCTTGCCAAACAGAAGGACCGATCTACAACCACATAAACAAATCAATGGTTTCATGTTGTTCATTTCGTAACAAAGCAGCTATCAGCGCTGGTCAAGCTGCTGACCTACACCAAGAGGAACCCAGGCTCTGCTCATCGTTCTGCTCCTTCATACTGAGCAGCTGTCTTGTACTGTAGCTGCATGCTTGTGGCTTCAAGTCCACAAGATGGCTGTGGCAGCTCCAGACATCCCATCAGTATTCCAGGGAAGGAATGGGACAGCATGAAGGGCAGTGTTTGTTGGGTCTATCATTTTGTGTGTGTGTGTGGTGGGGGAAAGACAAATTTTCCCAAAAGTCACTGCTCCAGCTGACTTTAACTCATGTCTGCTTGACCACAACTGGGTGACTTTGGAACCCCGGTTGCAAAGATGGCTGGGAAAAGAAGCATTTTGTCCATGCCTTGCTATCCTGCCTACACAAAGCTAGGGCTCTGTAGGCCAAGCAGGGGGACGGGCAGGAGAGGACAGGGTCTGCCTTAGCCATTTGAGCTCAAGCCCTGGGCTCTCCTGAGCCTCCATCCCCTACTCTGCAATGGACTCCTAGCACTTATCATGAAAGATGATTGGGAAGGTTAAATGAGATAACACCTGTCACCTGTCAGCTGACTTTTATTTACTGACATAACTGGTATGAGGGTAAGGAAACCTCCCCGGGGTGGGCTTATGGGGCTTGAGCTCCATGAATGGCGACCCCACCCCACTTCAGGCACACAGGGAAGCAGAAGAAAAATGTTCCAGGAAGAAGAGCCAGTCACACAAAGCAGCAGAAAGAGGGCCTAAGGAAAGACAGTCCAGCCTGGGGCAGAGGTATGAGTGAGAGGGAAGGGAAGGAGGCCAGGCCTCCAGGGCCATGGGGAGGGGTCTGGAATTTTTCCCCAGGCCCCACAAAGAGTAAGAGGCTCTCTGGGACTCCCGCTAACTGGATGGGCCCTCAAGCTTTTCAACACCGACCTGATCAGGGTGCCCGACCTCTGCAGTTGTCACTTTGGCACCCTATGTGTGTGGACTTTAGAGTTTTCTTTTTGTTTCAGAGAAGTAACTTCAAACATATTATCTTAGCTTGTCTGAACCCAAATTAAGGAAAGCAGGGCGTTCCCCCTACACCCAGTCCCCTTGAGAGCTGGGGCTTCTTGGGGGAGGAGGTGCTGAGGGTCCTGTGTGGGAACCTGGGGACTCATGAGGGCAGCGGGGGTGGCCTGGAGCCCAGGAGAGCACACAGTGGGAACACAGCATTTTGTTGGCTGGAGGGGGCATCCTGGGCTGTCAGGGGGAGCTCCCTGCTCACACTCTCAGAAGTGTCAGCCCCTGAGGGTAGGGACTTGTGCATTGCCAGATCCCACACACCTAGGGCAGTGCAAGGCATGGGTGGAACAATTGGAAAGCTTGGGGACAGAAGAGCCACTGTAGTGAGGGAGGAAGGTCTGGTGTCCACCTGCAAATCAGCAAGCACTGAGGTGCCAGGAACCTCTTCAATCGTCACAGCACCCCGCCTCTCTACTCAGAATCTCACCCTTGCCTGGTGCCACCTGGGACCAGCAGTGTCCCTTCCACTGTTAGAACTGTCACTTTCTGTGACCTCCCATAATGGAGGTCCCAGATTTCCAGAAAGGCTGGCAGACAGGTTTGGGAAGCCACCTGCCCTCCACCAGGATTTTGCCAGGGTCACCTGCACTCCTGACTCTAGTGCAGCATGTGATCCAGGTCTGGCCAATCAGGACACAGCTTCTCTCTGACAAATCTGATTGGTTGAAGCTTATCCAATCAGAGTAAACTTTCATAAGAACTGCAGGAGAGGCTCTTGCTTTCTTTGGCTGAACTTGAAAAGATTGAACCCTGCCTGAGAATGAACCAACCAGCAGAAGGCAGAGCCAAGAGGTACAGGAAAGCAAGCCCCAGTGACATCATTCAAACCCCTTGATCAAACTGCACCTGAAGTCATGATAGTTCTTCATTTGAATCAATACATTTATTTTCTGCTTAAGCAGGTGATTTAGGCTTTCTATTTGCAATGGCTAAAGTCCTGACTGGCAGGGTACGAAAGTTTTAAGACTCTCCCAGGGTCCTTCAAGTATGCAGAAAATCTTGAAAGACAGCAGGGGTTGGCTGCCTAGTTAGTTGGACAGATACCCACAGTTTTAGAGAATCAATTTGTTTTATATTGTCCCCCAAAATTAGAACTAAGGCCAGAGTTGCAAATTTCTGAGACACTCCTTTTTGCTCAGTAGAAGGAGAATGCTCAGAAAAGCAGGACTGTGGATAGCAGAGCAAGAGCCTGGTCCCTGAAGGCATGCCAGGGATGGCTTACAGCATGAGGCTGGAAGCTCCCAGAGGGGAGTCGGGGATTGCATGGGACTGGAACAATGGGTACGTGCTCAAGTGACACGGGGCAGCTTGCTGGATCCTGGGGCTCTTCTGCAGTCCCTGGGAGGGTGGGAGCACGCACAATCTCCTGCCCTCTCACCCCAGGTGGAAATCCACCAAGCTCTGTAGCGGCCGCCAAGAAACACCACAAGGAGGGAACAGCACAGCCAGGGCTTTGGGTGGGGGTCCTGGAGGGTCAGAATCATCTGGATGCAAGGGCTGGGGTGCCACCTGGAAGGGAGACAGGCAGCCATGAGTCTGGGGGACAGGCAGAATCCACACTCACAGCTTTCCTGGCTCGTGGCTCGTTCCAGCCTCTGGGACTGTGGCCAAGGATTGCCCTTCTACCAGGACAGCCTTCCCTGCTCCTCCTGCCCCACCATCCTCTCCAGCCTTCTTGTGGGTGTCATGGGGGCAGGGGCTTTCTCCACCCTCCCCTGCCCACTGCTGGGATGGGCTGAGCAGGAGCCCCACAACCCCTGTGCCCTGGCTCAGGTTAGTGGGCATGTCCTGGCCTCTTGGGCCTTCCCTCCAGAAAAATGGGTTCCCAATGACAAAACAGTGGGGAAACTGAGGCTACCTTGATACCCAATGCCTTCTGCCCTGAAGTAAATGCCACTCTCAGAGAACCAAGGGCAGCTCCCAGTGACAGGAAGCCCCTTCAGCCAGAGCCTGTTGTCATGTGTATTGGGGGAGGGTCAGGGCAGCAGGGGAGGGGCACCTACCTCTAGAGGAGGCTACAGGGGTGCTTCTGCTGCCGCGTGGGCTGCGGACACAGCACGGCCCGGATGGCCTCGTCGAAGACAGTCTTCAGGCCTCTCTGGGTGAGGGCAGAGCACTCCAGGTACTTCACTGAGTCTGCAGAACAGATGGCAGGATGACAGAGGCCGGAGTCCAGGAGGGCTCAGAGTACAGACCCTCCCGAGCCACACAGCCGAGCACCAGGTGGGGGTCCCTGCTTTAAGTTCCCAGCCTCAAAGTTGCCACCTGGGGGCTGTGTCACCTCGAGCTGGGAATGTGCCTCAGTTTCCTTATGTTGGAAATGGGGGCTGGTGGAGTGGCTCAAGCTGTAAGAGCTCCTGTCTTGCAAGCGTGAGGCCCTGAGTTCAAACGCCAGTGCCACCAAAAAAAAAGGAAATGGGGAGCTGGGTTCAGCGGGAGAGGGAAAGAACCACCAGGGCAGGCTGCATCTCTCTGGAACACAGCTCTCCTGTCTGGAAGGGCAGGACTCAGCTGCAAGGAACAACTCTCTTGGTACCTGGTTTGCTTCTAGAAAATGACCATAACCGTGTTCTGGCCTTTCCAGGGTGCAGATGACCCTTGGAGGTGTGAGGCACCTGTATCCAGGACCCCCAAATATCACTTAGCACCAGCCCCCTTCCATAGATGAGGACACAGACTCACAGAGGATGGTGACTTGTCCAAAGTCTCGTGCTGGATACTTGCCCTCCACCCAGGTCAGCCTGGGCCTCAGTGAGGGGACAGGAATTACAGCCCCTCCATCCTCTCAGAAAGACTGGCGTGTCCCACATGACCAAGCAAGACTGGGCACAGACAGCGAGACAGGCAGGCTGAGTTGTGACCCCTTTCCCAGGACCATGGTCCACCACTTGTGGAAGGCGCCTGTGTGACTAAACATGTCCTCCTCAACCTGAACGGTCTCCCTAAAGTGAGGGGTAACAAAATACTCTGCAGAGAGTCAGGGAGGAGGGTGACTTCAGAGCCGAGAGGAAGGAAATGGGAGGGAAGGTACCCTCCATGGAGGCCTCTGGCTCCTCTGCAGATGGAAGGGGACAGACTCAACCAAGCACTTGCCATGCCCGGCACCAAGGCACTTCCAACAACGCTCTGAAGTAACATTGGGATTTCCCCCCCGCCTCCCCCCCAGCTTCTAGGACAGGAAATAGACCCAGAGAGGGGCACGCAGCTGGGAAGAGGGGAACTGCGGCTACAGGAGGGGCAGTCCCTTGCAGAGAAACCACCCAGGCCAGGGATGGGGAGAGAGAAAGGGTGGGCAGTGAAGAGGAAATGCAGCTTCAGGGAGGAAACAACTGGGACAAAGTCACACCTGGCTGTTCCCCATCCCTAGACAATCCCTGAAGGCCTGATCTCCCCATCAGGAGGTGGCCAAGAGCCCCCCCCCCGCCCCTGTGCCCCGTGGCCTCTAGCAGCCCCTCCTGAAGCTGACCCCCACCTTGGACAGCTCAGGCCTAGGAAGAGGCCTGGGCACCCAGGGCCAACAAGGAGGACAGCAGCTGCCTCTGCCCTCCTGGCCTCCCCAACCTGCCAGGATGACCAGCTGTGGGGCAGCTCTAATCCCAGCTGACAAGCGTCACTGCCGAGGACTGAGCACCTCCTGGGACCAGGCGCAGACATTCTCCATTCATTCTCAGCTGTGAGGCAAAGACGCTCATTACCTCACTTTACAGACAAGGAGGTGAGGCTCAAAGAGAAGTCACTGACTTAAGGCCACCCAGATGGGGAGTCACTAGCCCAAGATCACATGGCCAATCAGCCTTGGAGCTAGGACCAGAATCCAGCCTGCAGGGTCCTTTCTGTTATCCCAAAGCACATGCTTTACAGGGGAAAGGGTGGGGCCAAGTGTAGTAATGCATGTCTATAATCCCAGCACTTGGAAGGCTGATGCAGAAAGATAGAAAGTTGGAGGCCAGTTTAGTTTATATAGTAAGACCCTGTCTTAAAAACCCAAAAGCAGAGAGAGAGGAGAAGAGAGAGGAGAGGGGAGGGAAGAGATGTAGCTCAGTGGTAGAGTGATGATTGCGTAGCATGCTTGAGGTCCTGGGTTTGATCCTCAGCACCCTAAATAAATAACAAAGGGGTACCCACAGGAAGGACTTAGGCAGAGCCTGGTGGGAAGGGACACAGCCCTGACCTTTGTGAGGACAGACCCGAAGGGGAAGTGGGGGGAGGGCCCAGGGTTAAACAGTGAGCAAGGCCCCCTGGGGAAGATGACCATGTCAGGCTAGTCACCCGTCATGGGAAGGAGAGACAGGGCTGTGGTTTCTCTTCCTGTGAGAGATTCAAGGCCCTCCCATTTCCGCAGAGGAAGGGGGCAGGGCTGAGCCCAGCCTGGGCCTGCAGGACCCCCTGGGGAGGCAGAGGGCAGCTCAGTGACCAAGCCCAGTAGGTAGTCCAGGGACAGGGACAGAGCTAGCAGGCCCAGACACCAGGGGAGAGGCGGACCCACAGTCAGCTCCTGTCCTCCCCACTACCCAGCCACCTCCTAGCTCATGACCTTGAGGAGTTTGTCTCTCCTGGAGGCAATGGGGAGTCTTTGAGAGCTTGGAGTGGGGAAAAGGCGGTGAAGAGGAGGTACAAGGAAATGTGTCACTCTGTATATCTGCTGCAGGGGACACCTCCTCCGGGAAACCTTCCAGAAAACCCAAGCTCAGCCTATCCTCCAGTAACCACAACCTACTCTACCCACCCCTGCTCTGTCTGTTCAAACCACACCCCTCACTTTACTGGCTACCTGTGGATGCCATACTGGCTAACATGGGGTGCTCCCTGTGCAACACTGCACAGAAGCCTGTGGGTTAATTCACTTCTCCCACACCCACAAGGCAGAAATCATCACTACCCCCATGCCTCCCTGAAACACACGCACAGAGAGGCTAAGATTTGCCCAAGATCACACAGCTAGTGTCCACATAGCCAGAGTTTGAACCATGTGGCCCAGCCCTGGGGCAAGAATGGCCATCCCCCGGCCTCCAGCCCCACCTCCCCTCTCTAAGTCTGAGCCCCATACCGATCTCCTTGGCCAGTGCCAGGCCCTGCGGATAGGTGATGGGCGCCAACTTCTTCTCCTTCAGCTTCTCGATGGTGTCCTTGTCATCCCGCAGGTCAAGCTTGGTGCCCACCAGGATGATGGGTGTGCTGGGGCAGTGGTGTCGCACCTCGGGGAACCACTGGGCAGGAAGACAAGGTCCAGGGTGTGAGGGAGTGAGGGAGCAAGGGGTAGAGTGGGAGGGAGGAGAGCCGAGGTCACTGAAGGCAGAGCAGATGGAGGGGTGAGAAGAGCGTGAGGTGGTGTGGGCCGGGGCAGGGTGGTGTCACATGGTGTGGTTGGAGGAGAAGAGGAGATAAGGAAGGCACAAGATTATATGGGAAAGAGAGAAGATGGGTCATGGCCATCCCAGCCCCTCCGAGAACCCCTTCGAGCCTCACGCCACCACCCCTTGCCCCCTGCCAGCCCTGGTGGCACTGAGGACTCTCTCTGCTCTGGCCTCTGCTGCCCCAGGGCAGACCTCAAATTGCCAGTTCCTGGATCCCTCCTCCCGCAGGGCCACCTGCCCGATGCACCCGGGGCTCTCAGCCCAGCTCACCTTGGCCCGAACGTTCTCATAGGAGGCTGGGCTCACGAGGGAGAAGCAGATGAGGAAAACATCCTGGAGACACAGCAGGCCAGGGTTGCCCATGAGGGAGGCCCAGAAGTGTCCGGCTTGGGCCCTTCCCACACCTGGGCAGCCAGGCAGAGGAGGAGCCTGGGGTTCCCTGAGGGTGGACAGTGCAGGGACCTTTGGGGGGTTAGGATGTGGGCAGAGCAGAGACGCCTCCAACATCCAGATCTAACGCTCAGGAGAGGCCAGGGCCTCTTTCCTCTACAGCCTCTACAGGACACACTACACCCATTCCACAGATGACACAGCGAGGCTTGGAAAGGCTAAAGGTGGCTGAGGTACACCTGGTAAGGGGGGCGTGGACTGCAGACCCCATGGACTCCTCACCATGCACTGTGCGACCATCTGTATACCAGCCCAGGTTTCTTTGCCCACCTCAGAGGGAGAGCCAATGTCACAGCTCTCTTCCATGGCCCTCCCCAGGGCCTGGGCTGCCCACTGGAGCCAGGGCAGAGTCTGACTACTGTACCAGCAGGAGCCTCATGCTGCCAGTGCCCACGAGGCAGAGGCTAGGAAGACAGGGCACAGTGACAACAGAGGGTAGAGGAAGGGCTGGAGATCATGGCGGGGGCTCTGCTCCCCAGACTCCTATAACTGAGCCTTAAGTGTTCGCCAGGCCCTGCTGGCCTGAAGTGCATCTGAGGACACAGGGAGCCCAAAGGCCAGGTCAGCGGGAGGAGGGGCTGCGCACCGTCTGGGGGTAGGAGAGTGGCCGGAGGCGGTCGTAGTCCTCCTGGCCAGCAGTGTCCCATAGCCCCAGGTTCACAGGTTTGCTGTCCACCATCACATTGGCTGAATAGTTGTCAAACCTACGGGGAGCAGTTAAGACAAGGGACAAGGGACAAGGTCAGCCTCGACTTCCGGTCCAGCCTTGTGTTGTTCTGCTCAGAAGCTAAGACCCAGAGAGGAGCTGCAACTGCCCAAAGCCGACCGTGTAGCTCAGCTGCTTTCCTTTTTCATTTCTGATTCATCATATGAAAATATTTAAGATAAAGTAAACAAAAAGAAGTAAACATTACATCTTCATCGTCCTTCTGCCGTAGGTGATGGAGATGCCAACATTCCCTCCAAGGCTCAATCAGGATAAACTCCTCCCACCTCCTAGTTTGTCCCCAATGTTTGCTGAATGAATGTTCATCCCTGTTTTAGGACTGAGACAAGGAGATGGTGAGGGATGTATTTGGGAAGCGGCCCCAGGAACCTGCAGGAGGGGAGCAGGGGAGAGCGACAAGGGAGACAAGGAAGGGTGACAGTCAACCTAAGGCATGCTGGGAGCTTGTACTGCTGGGGGCTGCTGGGGCCCATACCTGCTGGGCTTCCTGCAGAGGGCAGGAAGGTGGAGGACTCCTCCAGGGCCTTTCAGCCCAACCCGAGGGTGCACAGATAGCAAGTAGGCTCCAGCCCATGAAATGCCTGACCACAGCAGCTGAGGCACACACTGGACAGGAGCCTGGGGACGTCCTGGAGGCTCTGGAAGGGCCCAGCCCAGGGCTCCAGGCTGGGGGCTTTAGAAAGCAAGTTTACCCTACACCCCTAGAGGGAGGTGCTGGTTCTTCAGGCTGGGGAACAGAAAACTGAGATCAGAAAGGTAGAGTGCCTTGATCGAGGCCGCCCAGCCAGTGAGAGAACAAACTACTTGAGAAGCCATGTCTGTCTGCCTCTACTCAGTGCTCACTGCTGCTGGCCAGAGCTGGGCTCCAGGGAGGCCTCACCACCTGCCCCTGAGAAACCCTCTCACTGAGTTCACCCTCCAAGGTCACTCCTTATCTCCTTACCTGGTCCTCTGAGACCTCAGGCTCTTCTGGCTCCTCTGCCTATTCCTTCCCTCACACAGCAGCCAAGCTGTCTCCCAAGCAAGGCTCACCCTGCCCACCTCCCTATGCTTGTCCCCCTGCCCAGATGTCCCTCGGCACCTTAGCTTGCCCAAATAGTCCCACCCATCCTGACCCGTGTGTCCCCTTCACCTTTTAGGCCTCGGCCCCTGCCTGAGACTCTCTCTGGAATACCCTTTCACCTTCTTTCCAGTCAGGCCTCCCATTCATGCCTGGCTATTCCTCCTCCTTGGGGAACATCCTGCTCCCACTAGGAAAGAACTCATGGTCCCTCAAACTCCTGCTAACCTTGACCTTGAACAGGCATTTGGTGTGCCTCTGTCTTTCCAAGGCTGTGGGCACAGTTTGCACTTGCTTTATCCCCCCAGTCTCAGGCCTGGCACCCAGTAAGTGCAAGTAGGACAGAATTAAACCACAGTGGAGAACTATAGCCCTCAGATATTGCTTTCTGCATGAAGCCCTCAGAATCGCTGCATGGTCAGGCTGCAGAAGTCCTAGTGCCCCAGAGGAGCTCCAAAGACTCCTCCCAACAAGGAAATCCTGTCCCCAAACATCAGGCAGCTGACATTTGTCACACATGGTCCTGCTTCAGCACTGGACAGGGTCCTGGTTATCTCTGGGGTCCTCCCACAGCCCTGCTCCCAGTGGTCTGGAAGCTCCTTGCACACACACACACACAACTTTCCCCGACTCCCTATCGCCTCCCCACTGCCAGGCTGACTCTTACACCTCCACGGAGCCTTTCCTGACCCACAGCCAGGCCAGGGCTGCCACCCACCCCCACCAGCACTCCTCAGGGGGTCTCAGCACTCCAGATGGGGACACTAAGCCTGGTTCATTCCTCACTGCCCGCCAAGACCAGCAAGAGCTCTGGTGCCTGGCAGGTCTGCTGTGTGCCTACTCTGATACCGCCCCATGGCCCACCGGGGGGTTGAGAAGAAGATACCATCCAGGAGACACAGCAGGGCATAGTGGTGGTGCAGGGGTCCATGCTGTGTTTTGCTGCAACCAAAATCATACCTTTGGGCCAAGCCTGGGATGCCATGACACGCTCCGCTCTAACGTCCAGCGTGAAGGTCTAGGTGCTGAGGCCTCCCAAGATGCTTTGAGCCAAAGGCACCTGTGTCCTTGGTCACCAGAATCTCAGGGCCACAAGATGGGCAAAGTGCTACCTGTCACAGTGCCAGGTGCCTCCTCTGGGGCCAGGCAGAGGAGGCCTTTAAACATCAGGTCATGAAGTCCTACATGACCTGAGTCAACAGGACTTCAAGCTACTGCCAGTAGACAGACGGGGAAACTGAGGCCCCATGATGTCAGGAAGCTTTTCCAAGGCCAGTAGCCCCTGAGCACAGGATGCAGGCTCAGCCTGCCCATCTGTGACGTCCTTAGTGAACAAGGGAATGGACTGTAGGAGGGTCTGTTCAGCCGGAGACAGCCACCCAGGGACAGCTGGCTGGGAGCAGAGTTCCTCACGAAGCCATGGCCTGGCTGTGTGACACAGGATGGTAACTTGTGACCTGAACCCCACTGTCTTCACCAAAAAAATAAAAACCCTGTCTCTTGGGGGCATCAGAGGAGCCAAAGTGACAGCAAACAGCCAAACCTTCCCACTGGGAGATGCTGGGAAGTTGAGCAATTTTATTGTTGATAAGCTCAAAGGCCTACTAGATCCTCCCTAGAGGACCAGCTGCCAGGGTCCAGCTGCCCCAGGGATTCGTCCATGATGTGAGTTCCTGGTGTCACTCACACTTAGGAGGGAGGCCCAAAGCAGCCTTTCACACCACTGCAGGCAATCCTCACCCCTATTTTCCAGCAAGAAACTCAGGCACACAGGCAGAAAGGGAGTTGCTGAGACATCCCAGCCAGTTGGCAGAGCAAGGCCTAGGTGCTGTCACCCAGGTGAGGAAAGCCCACACTGTGAGCATCACTGCTATTTGTGGAGGGTGGAGTTTCTCTGGAGGCAAGCGGCCCTGCCACTCAAACAGAGTGGAGGGCAGGAAGGCAAAGGAGGCTCTGCATCCAGGTGTCACCTGGTCACCACCCATGCTCTCGCCCAAACAGGAATGATGGTGCATTCAGGGAAACCTGGGTCCACAGGTCATTAGTGACTGGTGATTTGGGGACACAGGACGATTGACCAGGCAGGTAGGAGCCTGAACCCCAGGAAGGTGCCAGGTCTTGGAGGCCAGATGTCATGAGGCCCTTGGGAAGTCCTGGCTTGCTTTGCCAGTTCGCTGAAGAGAGGGTCACAAATGAAGGTGGCAGTGAATACCAGACAATGTCACCGAATTAATAGCTTGGACTCTTCCTGACAAAATTAAGCCTTGCAGTACCTTTTCAGGGCAGGCCAGAATGTGCCTTGCCTGCCAGGGTGGTCCTGTCATTGCTGGTCCCAAACATGTGATGTGCTTGACTCTGTTGTAGACAAGTCAGGCCCAGTCCTCAGGGAGCTCTGCCCACTTTGGCCAACCCAGTCCGTGGCAGGGAAAGTCACAAGAGGGCTGAGAAGTGAAGCAGGATGGGAAACGAGGAGGGGCTGCCTTAGACAGGGGCTGGGGAGGTCACATCTGAGCAGGCAGTGGGTATACATGAGGGAGAAGCATTCCAGGTGTCAGAAATGGGAGGCTGGCATGTCTGCTTTATCAAGACAGGCCTCTGGAGTGGGGTGGTAAGTGGTGCGTGGTAGATGAGGTTTGGGGAGGGGTGTCATTTGGGACTTTGAACACCAGGACAGGAGATGGGTTTTAAGTGTGAAGGGGAGCCAGGGGCTAAGATGGGGCGCTAAGTGTTACTTTTAAACGCTCACCTAGGGTGGAGGTGTGGCTCAAGTGGTAGAGCGCCTGCCTCACTAGTAGGAAGTCCTGAGTTCAAACCTCAGTACCACCAGACAAAAACTCACTGAGGCTTCAGTTTGAGCATAGTTACAAGGAGGGAGATGGCAGGGAAGACTTCTATGTCACAGGCATCCGAGGGCAGTGTCTTCCTGACGTGTTTGTATCCCAACACCCAGCATAGGGCCATCCTCAGAGCAGGCTGTGAAAATATGCCAAGATCTCTTGGGGACCTACTAGTTCCAATATTGGATGTAGGATATAAATCACCAGACTATAAATGCCCTGGCTGCGGGGTGGGGTCAGGGATTCTATCTACAGTTAGGGCCTAAGCATTCATTTGTACAATGGAAGCATCACGTTCAAGGGATGCAGAGGAGGGGATAGTGACAGCCAATCAGAGGTCAGCTACACATGTCCCAGCACCTGATTGGCTGGCTGGCAGCACAGCCTCTCCAACTCCGCCCCAAAGTGTCAGGTCCCAGGCAGCAGGTTTAGGTCTGCCTCTCACCTGTCAACCCTAACTGCTGGCAGCAGTTTGAGCTCAACGCCAGACTTCTCTGATCTTGGGCCTGCAGCACATCCTCCCCCAGACCCAGAACCTCTCTTCAACTTTACCTGAGTGCCAGAGCTCTCAGGCTACCTGTTTTCCCAACCCTCTCCCCTCTTCACCCATCTCCAATTTCAAGTGCCTGGTGTGACATTTTTTTCCTGTCCCTGTCCCAAGGGCACAGACTTTGGTGGTAGCAGAGCCTGAAGTTGTTCAGGGCTGAACAACTTGGTGCTGGAAAGGAGGATGGATGAGGCCCTGCACAGTCCTGTGCAAAGTGAAAGCCCAGGACCCTGAGTTTCATCATGAAGGATTTCAAGATGGGGGCATTAAACCAGGTTCAGGGTTCTTCTGAGCATGGGCCCATACGTGGCTCACAGGATTCTCTGACTCAAAGTCCTCTGAGAGTCCAGGACAACCAAGCCCATGAGGAGGCACCAGGGACCTTTGAGTTGCTGATAGCCACTCAGAAGCCTCAGCCTACCACTTCCTTGCACAGAAAATGCCGAGGAAGGCTGGACTGTCCCAGCCCAGCCCCTGCCTCTTGCAGAAAGGGAAATTGAGGTTCGTAGGCTCAGAGAAGGGAAGTGACTGCTTCAAACACCTTCAACAAGGTCCTCCAACCCAGCTAGAACAGGCAGAAGTAGGACAGGATCTCGAGCCAATACCCAGACCTTCAGGGACACCAGCAGTGACAACACACCCCTGTGAAAGGGGTCTTCAACAGGATTCATGCTACCTACGCTGTACCTCTCCCCCCTACCCCAACACCAGTTTAGTTCTAGAGCCAGCCATCTCTGGTTCAGAGGTCCCTAATAAACTTTTGATGACAGGTGGGGACAGCAGGATCCCTCATTCCCATTTTGCTTAGAAGGACAGGTGCACCAGGACACGGCTGGAGCAGAGACGGGCTTCCCTGTCACCCTGCCCATGTTCCTCTGCCCTCTCCTGGCTGCCTGCCCTTCTCCTGTCAAAGCAGCTGAGCCCCACGTCCCAGGGAGGGGTGTCAGCAGAGGGAGCCCTGCCTACCCGCAGTGAGTGGGGTGGGGGTGGAGTCTGGATTTGGCACTAGGGCGGTGGTGGATTCTCTGATGTCATGGTGGCATCCTTGCCCACGGGTACCAGGATTCCTTCTGCCTCTCCCCCTCTTTCCCAGAAGAGTCTGGATCCTGATCCCGGAAGGGGTCCTATTAAGATCAAGAAGTGAGGCTCGGCATGACCCTGGGCTCTGAAGCCAGACAGACCTGAGTGACCCTGGAAGGCAAGCTCCTTAGCTGCCGTGAGCTTGGGTATGGTAACACCCAACTCCCAGGAGGATCAAATGGCGTCAAATGTGTGTGACATCTTGTGCAAAGCCTGGGGCCACACGCAGTAGGTCTTTGGTGACTGTGGCTTATTCTCGGAGGGTCTCTCCCATGGTGGTCAGTTCATGTCATCTCAAAGCACATGCATCGTGTACAAGAGAAAGTGTACATTATACTGTGCGTGTAATGCGCAATGATGACACCCGACACGAGTCAGATGTGGCTCCCTGCCCTCCACAGGCTCATGGTCTTGGGAGAGATTGGGTCAACTCACTCTGGAGACCTTTTAAGCTAATCAGAAGACTTCCTGCAGGACGGGGCACTGGAGCTGGGTCTGGAATCTTTAGTCAGGTGGATGTGGGGAGGAAAAGCACTCTTGGCAGAGGGAAGAGCTTGAGCAAAGGCCCTGAGGTAGAAGTTCTTAGAAAGTGTTTGTCCAGTAGCAGAGAACTCAAAGCAAAGTAATGGACCATGCAGCTGGAAGGGAAGGTTGAGGGGAGACCATGAAAGGCCTTGAAAGCCATCCTGGGGAGTTGGGAAGCTTCCCTGTGAGTGATGAGGTCCTTCAAAGCTAGGCCTCCTCCTCATCCTTATGAATCTGACACCTGTCTACTTTGTCCTCTGTGTCATATGACAGCCTGCTACCTGAACCCTGTGTCATATGGCAGCTGGCACTGCCTGGACCCAGGATACCCTGCCCCTGGTGCAAACTCTGCAGTTTTGTGTCAGGCCTGATGGATCCCCCTTCTCACCCATCCTCTCTGCTTCCTACCACAGCCCTCTTCCACCTGCTCCTGCTCAGGCCAGCCCTCTCATCTTCCTCCTCTGGAGGCCAGCTGGAAGCCACCTTCTCCCTCTGCCCCCTACCCATTGTCATACCCGGAGACAGTCTCCTTCATTCTGGGACCTGGGCATCCCTGGTGTGGACCACAGTCTCCCCAGCAGGATCATGGGGCAGCTCTGCCAAGCCAGAGACTTGCTGTGGCACCACCAGACTGCCTGATCCCAAGTGCCCACATGGCGCAGCCCTCAGGAAGTTCGTGGAGGGGGGACTCACACAGTGGGGATGTACTCTCCAGGGAAGGCATTGGTGGTATAGCTGATGAGAAGGCAGGTCTTGCCCACGGCTCTGAAAGACAGGAAGCACGAGAGGCTCTGCCTGAGACCCGGGGTGGCCTCACAGTGCCCTCCTGGCCCTCTGACAACACCCAGCACCTACCCAGGCCCCTGGCTCAGGGCCTCTGCCTCTCCATCTGAGATACCCTATGTCAGTGATCTCAATCCTGGGAGCTCATGAGAGTCACCAGGGCATTTATGACAGCCCAGACTTCAGGTCCTAGCCCGGATTCTGCTTCATGAGTGAGGACATAACTGGGGATCTGCCATGGTATGGGTGATGGGAGTCAAAGAATTAAGAGAAGAGGGTGTCCTGGGCAGAGCTGGGGGCATCTGGGGCCTGACCCAGGCTCTGCCATTACACTCCTGGGTTTCAAATTTCAGCTCCACCACCCGCCAGTGGCTTGATCCAGGGTGAGTCACCTAGCATCCCTCTGCCTCAGTTTCCCATCAAAAAACAGGGACAAGTCCATCCTCAAGCTGTCTCCCCTTAAACACACATTCTGCCAGGCTGGGAGGGGACACAGGTGGCTCAGTGGGAAGTAGAAAGGCCAAAGGGACAGTTTGGGGCCTTCCCCACTCTGCTTGGTTCTGTCACTTCCCATTCCAAGCCACTGTTCACCTGCCCTGCCACCACCCTCCCCAGGGCCTGGCACCAATGTAACTGTGAATGAGTGGAACATTACCCTTGACTTCCGCCACCCTCCCCCCCACCCAGCCCCAGTTCAGACACAAAAGCAGAAGTGAGTGAGGCGGGCAGATAATGGCTGCAAGGTCACACATCAGAGTCAGCTGCCTGAAAAACCCTCCTGCCTGCCCCTGGCAAGACTGGTCAGGAAACCAGGGACACAGGCCAAAAAAGAGCAGAGTCTCTTAAGGCCTCAGGCTGTCCCTCTGTAGAATGGGACAACTGAGCAGGAGATCCTGGCCAGCTAGAACCCTCTGGGATGGACTCCTGAGGGACCCCAGGGTGCACCTGTCGGTTGGACCTTAACATGTGCAGGCAGGAGTGAGAGGTTGACATGTGTATACACTTGTCATTCTGCAAATGAGGAAACTGAGGCATACAGGGCCATGAGAGCTGGAACAGTCACCTTCCTCAGTGGCACCTCACCTGACAGTTGAGGAGGGTCCTCTGCAGTGGGTGCAGCCTAGCCTGTGCCCAACAGCCCCCTCAATGCCCTCCTACCCTCCTGCCCTCCTCCTTCCCTATCTGCCTCTCATGCCCCCCACTTCCGGCCCTTGCCAACACCCTCACATCCTCCTAACCCTGGCAGGCTGAGCTGGGTAAAAACACACATACTGTCTGAAGCAACCCACAGCACTCCCAGGGCATAGACCTTATCCCAGATGGCTGTGCTGAGGGTCAGTCTTGCCCCAAGGTCCCAGCAGCAGCAAACCAGTGACTAGGACACAGGTCAGCCTGGGGACAAAGGCTAAATTGTTGGGTCCCTGCCTCATGCCTGCATCCACAGAAGAGAGGCCAAGCTGGCCTCCAAGGGACAGCTGCCCAAGCTATGGGTGCAGCAGGAGCCCAGGCACCACCACCCACAGTCCTGCACCCACCACCCAGGCAGCTTCCGGGGTGGGGTGGGCTGCAAGAGCAAAGCTGTCATCGACCTCCCAGTAGTGCTCTCTCTGGGGCTGGAGAGAGGAAGGAAGCAACGACTGAGCTGCCTCTCAGGAGGTCCTCCACCTGCAGGGCAGTCAGGATGAGGGTCTCAGGGGCAGCCCAGCAAGGGCTACAGGGAAGTTCAGCCAGGTACCTACCCATCTCCCACCACCACACACTTGATGGCCTGCATAGTGTCCGGTGCCTGTGGGACAGTGGTGACAGCTGAGGACCTGGAGCGTTTCTGTGGGCACCACGGATGTGGAGAGGCTGGCAAGGTGCCCCAGTGCGTACAGCAGCAGCTGTGGGACAGGAGGCAGGAGGCAGGAGGAAGCGGAAGGGGAACTTACCCAAGCTGCTCCCCCACGGCCTTGCAGGGGGTGGAGCGTGTGGTTTGCAGAGGAGCTGGGGCCCCTCAGGTGCTGGGACAGGCCCTGGCCACCCCCTGAGCACCTGCCCTGGGCTCCAGCAGGAGATCTGGGCACCCTCTGGGCTAGGAAACTTATTTCCTGCCCCAGGGCTGCTCTCCAAGAACCTGCAGCTTCCAAGAATTCAATTTGCCTCATTCCTAAGTATGAGCACTTGATGAGTGCCTACTGTGTGCTAGGCACAGTACTGGGAGCTGGCAACTCCAAGACGCAGGAGGCCCACCTGGAGTTCACACTGCAGAGAAAGTGGGGCCTTGTCCCAGATGCTAGAAGCCAGCCAGGAAGTGACTGGGGCCACAGGGAAGCTACAGAGAGGTACCTCAGAGTCACCAAGTGGGAGTGCTGGGGGCCCACAAGGTGACATTCAAGCTGGTTCCTGAAACGTGGTATCCAGGAGACAACACCTGAGTGGGAGCTGCCTGCTCAAACAGAGGCTCCCACAGGTACAGGCCTGAGTAGGAGGACAGGAGGCTGTGGGGAAGTGATGGGGGAAGTAGATGGGAGTCAATCAATGGGAAAGGCAAATGAAAAGGAGGTGAGAAGTGCTCCAGGCCTGTCTTGAGGCAGACCTGTGAGACCAGGGTCCCTGAAGACCAGGCACCAGGGCCCATTTTATGGATGCAGAAACTGAGGGCCTGGGAAGTCAGACGATGTACCAGGACTCCCCAGTTGAAATCACCCCTGGGGCCAGGTGACTCCAAAGTCTTCTGGCACCCCAGCTGCTATTTTGGGGGACAAAGCCTTAGTTCTGCAGCTTTGGGGAAGGAGCAAAGAGAATGTGTGCTTCCCCCTTGTCCAGTAAAACACTGGCCATCACCAGCTGGTTCCAAGTTCACTGTCATCACCACTGACCTTTTGAGCTCTAGAGAGAAAGGGCAGGGGAGGGAAGAGCAGAAGCCAGGGGACCCACAGGAGGGTGAGGAGGACTGAGGCCTGCTGGGGGACCAGGAAACCTACCCCTCCCCCAGCTCCCACCAACAGCCTGCACTGGGAGAGGGCCAGAGCCCAGCATTCCACGGAGAGCCTGGACACCCCCACTCCGCCACTCGATCCTTTCCAGCACTGTTCACAGAGAAATGTGACTCCCCCCACTGCTTCCCTCTGCAACACTAAGCAGTTAACTGAAAACCTACCCTTGTCTGGTGCCCGCCTTCTGGGCTTTGTGTCAGCTGCACTGAGTCTGGAGAGCCTTTTGAGGCCCCCAGCCCAGGTCAGGGAGGCCAGGGTCCCCATGGCCACCCTGGGGCTCCTTCACTCCCTAAGGACCCTCTCTCTTCACATTTTTTCCCCGTCCACTGCTAATCCACAGGGCAACCACTGTGTGCAATGTGGTGTCCTGGCTTGAACTGGGACAGGAAAGGAATATAGGTGAACAGGCACAATGCAAATAGGGTCAGAAGTTTGCCAGTAATCCCGTGCTCATTTCTGAGTTTTGGCCAATGTGCTGTGGTTATGTAAATGAGGCAGGGAGGCTGGGTGGGGTACATCTGTGAACTCTCTTACCATCTTTGCAATTTTTCTGTAAATCTAAAATTATTCCAGAATAAAGCCTTTATTTAAAAAAGGGGGGGGAGGGGATAAGGGTATAGCTCAGTGATAGAGCACATGCTTCAAATTGCCTTGTGTTCCATCCCCAGCACCGAAGAAAGAAAAATGGGAAGAGTGCTGCTTTCCGGGAACACACGGCCAGTCGTGTGGCCACATGGCTTGGAAAGTAGTCTGTGTACTGGGTTTTATCCCTGGACCCTGTAGGATGCCGATTCTCTATGCGGTGCACCTGTCCAACTGTACACAGGCAAAACCAACGTGATATTGCACCCACTCTCCATTCCAGGACAGCACAGGTGAAAACTCTCCCAGACTGGTTAGTGCTGTCAACTTCCCCTCATTCTGCATGAAGAATTGTACACTCTGAGCATCTCACTCTGGACCCGGTACTGCTGTAGACACAGAACATGGAAGAATGGAAGGCTACCCTGGAGAAATTGTAACCCACATTGAGATGGCAAGGAAACCCTTAACCACTCTCTTGGAATGGCCCCAATCTGCAGGTGGTCCAGAGACTGTGTGGACAGGAGAGCAAGATGGCAGGGGGAGAGGGAGGTTGAAGCAGCCTGGATGGCAGCTGCTAGATGGACAGAGGGCCAGAAGGACAGCAGCAATCCCCGAGTGCCTCCAGTGTGACAAAGACTGCTCAAGCACATAGCTGCTGGGAACTCGTATTCAATCCCATTTTACAGATAAGGAAAATGAGCCACCCGGGGGCTCACCAACTCTCCTGGGATGGTGCACTTGTGCCACTCCACTGGATGTGACCCCAGCTCTCTCTGTCCCATAGCCCCACTTCACAGATAGGAACACTGAGGCCAAGGCCATGATGCAGCATGGTCCAGTCCCCTTCATTTTCCTATCTTCCATTCTTTCCTGCTTGCTTTCTGGAAGCATCTGAATGGAGGTATAAATGACGCACAAGGAGCTGTACCCATTCCAAGTGTACAGCTCCACACATTCCTACAGCTGTACACACCCACAAAGCCCACCACCACCAAGACACCTGCCAGAGCCCCTGCCGTCACCCCACACAGGGCACTCCTCCCTCCGTCCACCTGTACCACCCAACACCCACCAAGCTCTGCCATTCCACAAACATGGAACCCCGCAGATCTTCCTCTCAGCGCGTCTCTGAGATTCATCCATGTTTTTGAATGCGCCGTGGCCTGACCCCTGTATTAGCATACCGCGTTCTGTCACATGGAATGTCACATTGGTTATTTATTTAGTTTCAGCTTCTTTTGATTACACTTTGCAAAACCACTGAATCAGAACCGAGAGGCCTCTGGGCCCCCAGAGGGTCATAAGGCCACCTGCACCCATCCCACTTTGCACCACTG